ATTTTTATTTTATTTGTATTTGTTAATTGGGTTAGTTCAATTATGCTTGTAGAGTTTCTTAGTATGACAAGTCAATCAATTAATAATTAAATCAAATAGTTGGTAAGTATTATCAATATTTAAAAATATTTTATTTTTATAACTTTTAATTTATATTTCATTTTTTTATGTAGGCTACTTGAAGTAAATGAATTATTGATATGGATCACCAATATTTTAGTATTAGTGTCTACTTTTTAGTACTTGTATACATTGAATTAATCTTATTGGACATCTTGTTATTTATATATTTTAAATTGGGTTACGTTAATTTGTAAAAACTACGAATGAACATGTCATTAGTTGTATTTATATAGTATTGCTGTAAATGTTAAAAAATTTAATTATGGTACGGAACCGAACATAACCGAACGGAACTGAACCAAACGGAACTAAACCCGAACGGTTCTATAATTATATTTGAACCCAACAGTTTCATTTAATAAATACCCGAAAATTTTGGTTCGGTTCGGTTCTCTTCAGAACCCAATCGAATTGAACCATGTCCAGCCCTCCGCTCATGCGTTGTGATATCGAAGGAAAAATCTTGTGGAAGTGGCCTCAACTTATATTTTAATGAATTTTTTACTATATATAGATTCTTGTAGATCTTATAAATTTGAATTGAATTCCACGGATTCTGTAAGATTACTTCGTGTTATCAATGTCATGGGTTTCCATTGAAATATTATAATGTTCCTTTTTGACTCATATACCTTGCAATAGTTATATTGTGGAATTATGTGCATGTGCATACATATATATGAATATGAGAGAAGTAACTATGTATAGCTCGTAAAAGAAGGATATTGAAAGTAAGAGATGAAGGTGAATACTATAAAGTCAGAGACGACATCTCGAATGAGAAAATAACATTNAAGGATATTGAAAGTAAGAGATGATGGTGAATACTCAAAAGTCAGAGACGACATCTCGAATGAGAAAATAACATTAGATATAAGAGAATTGCCCTACGTTTATCCCATACTATTCTTCATGTGGGCAGGGCTGGCCATATAGCTAGGCAAATAAGGCCTATGCCTCAGGTCCAAAATTGGAGGGGCCAATTTTTTGCCCAAATTTATTTATTTTTAATTATTAAAGGAAGATAAAAGGGAAATCTGTTTTCATTCTTACCTCCTACTCGACGCCGCAATCGGTGACTCCAACTCCAACTGGATCGACAACTAGGCGATGACGTCATTTCCTTCGATGGCTTCTTCTCTTCTTCTTCCCTTCTCTTCACTCTCTCTTTCACAAATCTGTCAAATCACAACAAGAGATGACAAATCTGTCAAATGAAATTTGTTCTGATTGCCAATGTTTTTGAGAATAGGGGAAATAACTTATTCGCTTCAGCATCGTTTGTTCTAGTCAATAACTTATATTCTTCTAGTTTTTTTTTTTACTACAATTTCCTTTATTTCAATTTCTCGATTCAGTAAATTTTTTTATCGAAGTTTGAAATTCAGAGGCTAGTAATTTATAGTTTTGAAAAAGTTTCACTTGAAACAAACATTTGATGTTATCCATTGTGATTTATGAGTTTAGCTTTCTACTAAGCTTCCAGAGACCTTTGCTGGTCTGTGCCTTTACTTCGAGCCATTGACATGTGTCCTTATTCAATGGGAAGTCTTCTAGATGGTGGTATTTCCATTTTGAACTTGATTATTAGGGGACTGTCCTACCTGTGCATTGAAGGAAACATGGGCAAGTTATTATATTCAAGCGTCTCATGGATGATATTGATACTCCTACCTGATCCGCGCCTTTATTTTGAGCCGTTGGACATGTTAAGACCCTATGGGAAAGCTTCTAGGTGGTGGTTTTTGTTAAAAAGCTAG